CCTCAAACAGATTGTCAAACTGCAGCGGGAAGGCCGGGGAGGGTTGGGGGGCAGGAGGTAGGGGGGTAAGAGATCAACTAAAGGACTTGTATGCATGCATATAAGCATAACCAATGGACATAAGACACTGGGGGATAGGGGAGGCTAGGGGACTGTCTAGGGCGGGGGGATAAAATGGACACATATGTAATACCCTTTGTAATACTTTAAGCAATAAAAAAAATAAATAAATAACGTATTCCCACAGCCTTCCTAACATTAGGTATGTCAACATGAAGCTAACACAAACCCATCCTCCCCCAATTTTGTGAACCATAGTGATAAAAAATAGAAATTATAACCCCAAAGAAACATTGCATGGGTATTGCAGAACTTTTACTATGCCAGACTAGTGGATGTTAAAATGAAACATTTAAAAAATCTTATACATGTGAATCTTGCTTTATGTAATATCCTGAACACTTTATATGAAAGTGAACCTAATTTCAAATCTACTTATGAAGCCCCCGGAACTAAAATAAGTAATTTATTTAAAAATAATTAACAAAAAAAGAATAGTTAATCATTCCCATTTTATTTGTTTCAGGTAAATCAAATGTATAACAATGTGATTTTATAAAAAAGCAGCATGTATTACATTTCTAGCTTCAATGAATAATCTTGTCAGAAATTCATGACTTTTTAAAATCATTTTACAGAAATAGTTTTTTATTTATAGATATATGTGTATATATCTATAGATAAATGTACATATAAAATTAGGTAAAAAATGGACATACTTTCCCCTTTACACATAGTTGCTGAGATATAGTACCTGTAATTCTTATAAACGGTTCAAGAAATGAAGAAAATATTGGATTTATCCTACAATTCTCCCCCTAATCCAGCACATAATGTAAAGTATCACCAAACTATTTTTAGTTATTATGTACCAATTATGTGGAAAACTAACAAAAACAGAAAAGTGGACATGGGGAGACTGAAACCTTTTTCTTTTAAAATTTCATTTGGTGAGCCTGACACACTGCCCCTGATTATACAACAGTTTAACTTTGCTAATATTTGTCTACCTATTCTGAATCAATTTCAACACTCAGATTGACTCTTATGTAATATTAGTTAAAGGGTAATATTCAGTGACCACAAGCCCACCAGGACATATGTAAACGTGTACTATACACACATACAAAACCTAAATATCTCAGTTATATTTTCCAGTTGAGTAAGATCATGTAGTTAAAAAATAAGAAAATAAATGATCCTTTATCAATAATTTTTAAGAAAGATGGGGGCAAGAGAATACAACGTTGAAACATAATTGGAAGCCACATAGGTGTACAAAATATATAGTTCCCCTTATCCACAGTTTCGCTTTCCACAGTTTCAATTAGCATCAATAAACCTCCAAGCAAAAATATTAAATGGAAAAATGCCAGAAAAAACATTCACAAGTTTTAAAGTGTGTACTTCTCTGAGTAGTGTGATAAAAATCTCACACTATCCTGCTTGCCTGCCCCGGACACGTATCATCCCTTTGTCCAGTACCTCCATGCTGTATACACTACCTGCTCATTGTCACTTAGTAACCATCTCAGTTAGTAACCATCTCAGGCAGTTCGACTGCCTCAGTATTGCAAAGTTTGTGTTCAAGTAACCCTTACTTTACTTAATAATAGCTCCAAATCACAAGACTAGTGATGCTGTCAATTCAGATATGTCAAAAGGAGCTGTAAAGTGCTTCCTTTAAGTGAGAAGGTGAGTACAGTGCAATAAAATATTTTCAGAGAAAGACTACATTCACATAACTTTTATTACAGTATGTGATTTATAAATTAAACTTTATCAGAGAGTATGTATATATAGGGTAAAAACAGTATATATAGGGTTCGATACTATCTGCAGTTTCAGGTATCCATTGGGGGTCTTGGAATGGATATCCAGATGCTAAGCCTTAGAGGAGGACTACCATATCTAAAATTAGTTTGTTTTACAGATTTCATAATTGGATGGAATATACCACTAACAGAACAGCAAAGATTGAAATTTAAACCCTAATTAAGCAAAGGTTTCAGAGTTCTAATGTCCTGTACCTGCTTGACACCATGACTCAGTAGCAATCTCAAATAAAAATTAATACTGCATATAGTACCATCTTAATTATATAAGTAACAACTGATTTTTTTAAAAAAAATGAAATCCTCAAGGGATCAAAAATCATTGGCTCACACCAACAAAATAAACAATTACTTCTGTATAGTTTTATTCATTCAAAGAACAGTAATTTGTAATAATAAAAAAAAAAAACCTCTTTCTGTGGATTCCCTTACATCTTGATTACTGTCATCTGATCATAACACAACTGTAACTCTGCTATCATGTCAGCTTCTCTTCAGGGGATAGGTCTTAATCATAAATCAACAGAATGACTAATTCAACAATGTTAAAACCAGAGAATAGATGCTTGGAGTCATTCCAGTTTTTACATCTTTCAAAGGGTCAGTACACCTACTCACTAACACAATAGATTTTATCTTTCAAAATGTGTCCCTCTTTTCTAGGATTGAAAAATAACATTCCATTTAAATTTAAAGTGAACTTTAGTAATTAAATTGTTCATCACTTCTGAACACACTAAAATACAGTTTTAGTCTTTCTCTGGTGGCAAAAATCACAAACCCCATCTCCTCTTTCCTGAGCATTTGAAATAGTTTTCTAGACTTAAAAGACCCAGGAAAATATTTATTGCTGCTTCCTGCATCAGTCTTAATTTGCTTCAGTAGCATTACATAATAATCTTAAAAAGCAAAACCTTTTCTTTTGCTAAGGGAGCAGCTAATGCAAGTGAAGCTTAGATATAAACATTATAAAAAAACACACAAGATGCTAGCAAAAATTAAAAGGATTTAGTAGTGAAAATGTATTTTAACTATGTACATCTGCTTGCAGTGTTATAAATGATGAAATCCTAGTGTTCATATCCTTCATAATAAAAATTTATTCTGCACTTTAATACAAAGGCTATGTTGCATAAACAGAGGATTTAAAACTGTAGCAGAGTGGGTGAATGAAAGGCAAATGGCAATCTTTCTGGCTCCAGTAGATGCCATTCCCTATCACACAATGTTTCCCACTCATAAATACATGACAAATACTTCCTCAATCATTTTTTACGAGCAGGGATGCACAGGGGGTAGTCAATGGCTAGCTTGAGGGAAAATAGGAACAGCAGGCGGCAGAAACTGTACAGAAAATGGCTATGTGGTAAATTCTCTTCTGGAACATCACTCAGTTACCCAGTCTTTGATCTTTCAGCTACAATTACACTAACTTCCACAAGAGCTGACCCCCCCCTCAACCCCCCAAACTTACATACAACCCAAATCAGATCATTAACTATACATAAAATCTAAAATTTGGTTTTATAAATAGTATCATCCATACCTCTACATTTTTATAAATTAAAATTTGCTATTTTAGACAGGAGTTAGTTTACTTTTTCAATTGGCTATAACCATATCATCATCACAACTGGTCTCACAAAAAACATGGGGTGTCTGGCGACAGCTAAATCACAGACTGGCGTCTCCCAAGCAGTCTGTCTACCATTAGGGTCTGGGAAATAGTATTTACTATACAATTAGAGCCAGGGAGTTCTACCTGTAATCATCCAAATACAGGTGTGAGAAGCCCCTTTGGGCAAGGAAACTGACTCATCCCTTTTCATGGATACTTTGATGTCAGTATTGTTTCACGAAACCTCAGGAAACCTTATCATTTATACCATAATGAGAAGATTTATTAACTAAGGTCAAGTAATAAATTTAAAATTCTTTCCCAAAGGTAACAATTTTTGACACACTAATCATCAAATTTATAAGAATTTGAAACAAGACGGAACTGATTACATTTATGTATTGGAGGACACTGACCAGTGAGAACGAAATGTTCATGTTAAGTTTATGCTTTCTAGAATATTACCAATAAAGAGGTCAAATTCAACTTTCTATCAGGAACACAAAATGTCTTATAGTAATATTAACAGGGCATTTTTAGTTGCAGCAATTTCACAGAATTTATTCTAATGATTTATTGGAGTTAACCATCTGACATTAATTATTGTTTTGGCTTCCAGTCTATGAATGTTTATTTTTCAGTTTAAAGCTTCTCACTCTTTGATATCATATGGAAATGAGAATTTTTAATGGAAAATTGAAACCATGTGCATCTAAGTACTTAATGAAGTACAGGAAAAAACAGACAATATATTTTAGGGGAATTTAGATATTTTGCTGTGGACAGTTTTGATTTGTTTGTATAACTTAATAGTATAAAATACTGAGAGTCCAGAGAGGCGATTCGAAGCAAATATTATGCCAAATGCGTATATGTCCACATGTTATATGAAAATATGGATTTTTTGAAGTTATTAGTGAATGAAAGGAAACCTTGTACATTTTGGTTCCATGTCAAAAATTATAATCAATACATGGATGCATAGTTTTTAACTTTGCCACACTTTTAAAGTATTTGAAACAGATATTGGTCTTCCCTCTGCCCCACAGTTGTTTTTATTCTAAATTAAAAACAACTTTTTTAAAGCATTCAATCTGGATTTTAAAATTTATGTCAAACTGTAATCCCAAGTAGATATTTTAAAGTCACATATCAACACAGCTAGAAATTCCTAGCTTAAAAAATTTTATTGCTCCAACTACATTTATCCTCATTTTGCAAAGAAAACGAATAATGTCTATTAAATTTAAATTTGAAAAGTAAATATGTATGATTCAATATTACCTAATTTAGTTGTTGTTTTTTTAAGTTCTCTCAGTGTAAATCAACTAAAATATTTATCTCAGAATTTAAACCCAGGCAAAGCTTTCTCATCCATTTTAAGTTTTTTAATAAGAGGAAAAAAATCAAAATCCAACATAGCAGTATATACATATGTATGTGTTTGTATACAGATATGTCTGGATACCTCGGGAGGAAAAACTTACCATTTGTTTTTCTTTCTAATGTAATCTTTTTCAGAAAGATTAACCAAGTACACCATTGGTTTTGAAGTCAGAAATAAGTACTTATTCAGCACTTCAATCTAAAGTGAAGAACAGAAAAATAACCCCTTTTAAAACTTGAGTAACTATTTAACTGTTTAAACAAGTAGCCTTTTGCATTTTTATAAATCTTGTTTCTAAAAGATTAATTATTATGAAATATCAGGAACAGGGGAAAAGAATTAACAAGCCTGGGAATAAGCAATCATTGACAGAACTATAGTGTAACTAGATATAATAATTAGTATAAAATAATGACAACTCTAATTTGTTCTCTAAGAAATCAAAGCAACGGCAATAATAAATGGCATAATATTTATAACTTACCTCTTTGTCATTCCAATCATGATAGAAGCGAACAGGTTTCTTTTGATCTATAACCCAGGATTTGACTTTGCACATTATGTCCTATACACAATTGAGAAAAATAGTAAATACAAGATGAATACTAAGCATTTAGATTAAAATCCAACTCAATACTAAAATTAAAGGGGGAACTAAGACACACGGATAATTATTTTCAGTATCTTATTATAAAACTAAATAACAATTGTGGCATTAAAATATTAATATATAAAATGTGAAATACTAGCAAAATTAGTAAAGGTCTTAAAATGTTTAAGACAATTCAACTATTAAAGACAGTAATATTTCAACATTACCAAGTGATGCCACTTTCAAGATAAACATACTACTAGGAAATTGTGTGTGTGTGGGGGGAACACTAGAGAGAGACTGAATTATAATTTCTTCCTTAAAAAGAAAACCAAACAAATAGATGAACTTGAATCTATTATTGATAGCCCTTTTTAATATGAATTAATTTTTTGCCAACACCTTCTCCCTGCCCACTTCTCCTGTCCCCACTCCAACAATCCCCCTCCAACCTGCCAAAGCCTCCATTACACAATGGCAAGAGCCCTGCACTGGTGACCTCCAACCAGCTGCATTCACTTTCAGAACATCTCTCTCTGCTGGAAATCTAAAGGCCTTTTAGTTAGCAAGCTAGTGTGCATTCAGAAGGAGTAACTGCAGGAAGAGCCCAATGTGCTTTGTTTCTCTGGCCTTTCTTCACAGAAAGATTAATCATCTGTGAAATGGAAACGGCAAACAGCAAGTGACACAAACTGAACCCTTCAAGCCTTTCCTCATCAGTTTTGTGGTTCTGAATCTAAAAGCTGCGTGTGGCAAGGTTCCCCTCACAGGCAGGTGTTAATAAAAGGCTCTAGGGTCTGAAAGGTCAAACTTAGCTCTTCCAGAAGAAGTGCATTTGAGAGTCATCTGTTTTTTGTTGTTGTTAAAGATAATTTATGGATGTTTAAAACATGCAATTTTAAAAATTGTTTGTAATACACAATAATTAGTAATAGTTTTTTTAATTTTCATCAATGCATTTTCCTTTACTATAAATCAGTCATTCTTCTATAAATATCCACTTATATAAATTACCTCAATATTAGTACATCTTCCTTCCAAATCTTGCTGTTAACAACAGAAAAAAATAAGGAAAAGTCCTATATCCTTAGATCCTGATTTGAAACACTCCAGGAAAAGGACTTCCTACAGATTTTAACAAGGAAGGGGCAAGCTAAAAACTTTTAATGAAATCTAACATGCTCTGCTTAAGAATAATCACTTTTACTCTTCTATAACTGAATTTCACTCATAAATGTTTAAAAGTGGCTAATGTAACACCATTTCCTACAAGGAGAAGATCAAAGTGCTATATTACAAATGCATTATGATTAAAAAAGCCCTGTGCAGCCTTGCTATTAACTGTTCTTTAAACCCTAAAAGGCTTCCCATAGATCTCACTTGGCACTGCATATACAACCTTTGACAAGTAATGTAGACCATTTTTATTCATTGCCTAAAATTGTAGGCAATTATGTGCGTCACACTGGCCACCTGCAAATTCTGAATGCCTGCTCCAGTTGTCAGTGTAAAAAACTAATGTCGGAGGGGATTAATCTAGGGGGAGAGAGTCCTCTTTAATGGCTCCAGCAGGTGAAATGGCCCAGCTGGTTACTATGATGAGTGGCCAGAACAGCTTATGTAGAGATACGCAACAAGATTATACAAAAGAAGAAACAGTGGTGCCATCTTATATTTGGTTTCATTAGTTTTCTTTTTTCAATTAAAGAAAGAAAAGAATAAAATAGACAAAAGAAAGCCAAACCAAAAATAAAGAAGGAAATTAAATTTTAATCATATAAAAAGTGTAAAATACTTTTGTAACTATAAACGTTTTTACAAAATGAATGGGATTCAATAAATGCTGTATGCTAGTGAAGGAATTCCAGTATATCTCTCTCATTTTAAATTAACTAGACCATCACTTCAGACATAGAAATGCATTTTGGCACGCGCCACCCCCCCCCTACACCTAAATACTGTATTATAAATTAGAAGCACTCAAATTTTAAAGAGAATTAACTCATAATTAAAGTTCCCAAATAGTGTATTAATTAAAGCCACATTGAAATCTTTTTAGAAAATTTGTTACCATCTTTGAACAGTTGAAAATAAAAATACCTTAAAATTTAAGATATTTTATTTTGTACTCAGTTCTCTCTTAATTATTCCCACAAAATATTTAATAGCCAGGAAAAGACAGATTAGTAAAAGATGTCAGTTTCACTAAAGACAAAACATAGATTGATCAGATAAGATTATGTTACATAAGTGATCATTATATGGTACAGTTGCAATGCGTTGTTTTTCTTACTTTAAGTAAAAATTAATTTTAATTTTAGCAAGAAATTTAAAGATATTATGTTCCTTGTTTAAAAACTTCTAATTAGATGAAAAAACACACACAACATTTGGACTTATTTGTATATAATACTTAATGGATTGACTGAATTTTTTTCTTATGCTTGTATATATAAAATTATGGTTAGAACAAGAAAGGGTTCCAGTTCAGTGAATTTCGTTAACTGAAAAAATAATCTAGTACATACCTAACTTACTTTTAACAAATTAGAATACAATAAGTACATAAAACACTTTAATGCTTGACAACTCAGAAGTTATTTTAGGGTTTTGTATTTCTTTAGTAATATTGTGATGTAAAAATACAGATATAGGATGACTGTTTTGATAACTGTAGCAAATTCCTCATTTTCAAAATAAATGTACATCAAAATGTACATGATGGAGATTATGCAAAAATTCCTGGTCATTTGAACTTTTTGGTTACATTGCAGTGATGTGAGTATACTATTTCTAGAGTTAACAACTTAATGATAAGTGTGGAAATAAATCCTAGGTCTACCACTCACCAAGTCTGTGACCTATTACTTCATTGATAAAATTCATATGAGGATACTATCTATCCTCCTGGGGGTTGCTGTGATGATCAAAAGAGATAATGCATATAAGGTGTTTAGTGCAGTTTTGGGCACAGAATAAGTTCTCAGTTAATGTGAATTGTGGCCATTGTTATTATGATTGTTGAAAGATTAAATGCTAGGGATCTGCAAAATGGCATTATATTTCTTTGGGTACTCCTTTAAAGCAAATAAGTATACATCTTCCACAAATGAACAATTGTTCAGTAGTCCTTTTTTCCAAATAACTGAAGCTTACCAACAATATTGGCTTTCTCAGTGAAAACTCAATTCAGGTTTCTAGTCTTAACATTCTACAAGAATTATCTAGCTTTTGTTGAACTATCTTTTAACTGCAAAGAAACTTAATACAAACACACCTCTGATACCTTGCTCTTCTACTTTGACTCTTCTTACCGAGAACCTCGTATTTCACTTTATAAATGCTCTATGTTTTATGCATTTTATATTGTTGTTAATAGCATCAGGGAGGATGTGTGACTTGCCTAAATTCCCATAGCTAGCAAGTGGCATAGCTGAGACTAAAATTCAGGTCTAAGTGACGCAAAATTTAAGTTCGGTCCTATCACTTGGCCTTTTTGTCTTCCTTACTGCCTTCCTAATTGCTCCTTGTTTAGCCTAGCAATTCCCAAAGTTGTTATTCAAAGTCTTCATTCTCATTCCAAAGTCATCAGAGAAATTCGATATTCTTACTTTTTGGGTACAATCTGTCAATCCATGTATCACAAAAATAATATTTTTCTCTGCATAAAATAATATAACTGTTATTTACTAGACTTTTCAAGAGTAATTATTAATCTTCTCTATTTTGATATTCTTCAGTTTCCATTACAGCAGAAATTATTCATCTGTAATCTACAGTTATCAGGAGTCACACCCTGAAGTTGTATTTTTTAAATATATTTTTTATTGATTTCAAAGAGGAAAGGAGAGGGAGAGAGAGACAGAAACGAGAGAATCATTGATTGGCTGCCTCCTATACACCCCTGCTGGGGATTGAGCCCACAACATGGGCTTGTGCCCCTTGACGGGAATCAAACCTGGGACCCTTCAGTCCACAGGCCAATGCTCTATCCACTGAGCCAAACCAACTAGGGCTAAAACTGTATTTAAAGTTCTCTATTTATGTGCCTTGGAAGGATGATAGCACATTTCTTCCAAATGCTTGTAAAAGGGATTTATTATCCAAAAAATCAAGAACAAATGTTGTGAGTGATTCTGTGGCAATACTCAAATGCAACAACAGCCAATAAAGTAAATGTTCCAGGTCCATGGACTCCCAGACCTGAGGTTCAGACACTGACCTAAAACTTGCTTCAGCCAAACCCTGCACTCAATTTTCATCTATTCTGATCAACACTGTGCAGATAAAAATTCTACATTTATCTAACATAATTCCAGTTAAATCCCAATCGGGATGTTGGAGAACATTACAAATTGAATATATCATTATTCTGAAAGAATGACTTGCTTGAGACTATAAAAATGTTTAGAGAGAAAACTGTGTCCTGCTTTACTATATATTAAAATAAACCACAAAGCTATAGTAATTAGAACAGTGTGATACTAGCACCAAAAGAGAAGTACAGATTAGAGACAACCTTTGCCCTGGGCTGGGTAGCTCAGCTCATTAGAGCATCATCTTGATTTGTCAAGGTTGTGGGTTCAATTGCCAGTCACAACACACACAAGAAGCAACCAATGGATGTATAAAATAAGTGGAACAACAAAACAACGTTTCTCTCTCTCTCTCTCTCTCTCTCTCTCTCTCTCTCTCTCTCTCATCAATTTTTTAAAAGATAGAAACAACCTAAAACCCCATAAATTGGAGATTTGCTAATAAATTATGGAATATTCTAAGAACAGTTTCCATCTATTAAGACAAGATATATCTGTATTACATTCACATGGGAAAATGTCCAAAATACATTGCTTAGTGAAAAAAGTAAGTTCAGAAAAATGGAATAAGTTTAAGAATATGGATTCTATCATCAAACAGATTTGGGTATAAGCCCTGGCTCTGCCACTTTCTAGCTGTGAAACTTTGGGGCTGCTACTTGTTTCTATAAAACTTGTAATAACCCCAATTTAAAATATGGTGATTATGAGAATTAAATGAGAAAATACATGTAAAGTAGCTGCCACAGTAAATACTCAATAGACATTAAATATTACTATTTATGGCAGAACACATAATATGATTCCATTTGTGGTTTTGAAACTATCCTATATAATAAAGAGGTAATATGCTAATTTGTCCATGACGATGTCCAAGGCACGTCCAGGCAGAAGCTAGTGGGCGGGAATGGGGGCGGGGACTTCCGCCCCCAGCACAGGCCCGCGCAGGGCTGCCCAGCGCTAACCGAGCTGCCTCCGAGGCGGAGGCTGCTCCAGAGGAATGGTGGGCAGGACGGAGTGACCAGCCAAGCCCAAGTCTGGCTTTGACAGGTCCAGCGGGAGCCTGACGCCACCCCAGCCCCCCAGGTCCTGGGCCTGATGGTGGCTCAGCAGCATCTTCATGCACAGCTCCCAGGGGCGGCTGCGAGGTGGAGTGGGAGTAGGCGTGCAGAGACTGCCAAGCTTGCTAGCGCCCCGCTGGTGCCCTGCCCAGGCCCCACACCTGCCTCCGCAGCCCAGCTACGGACCCTGCCCCGTGCTTCAGGCGGGGAGAGGAGGCTCACAGCCGCCAGCACCCTAGGCCACACTGCCTACATCGCTGCCTGCCTGGCTGGCAGGGACCAGAGCGTCGTGGGCGAGCTGCTCCCACCCCAGAGGGCACTGGCACTGGGTACAGGGAGGGGACCTCAGCTGGGGTCCTCCCGGCACCAGGAAGGGGCCTGGCATGAGCTTAGGAAGTCTGTCTGAGAAGGCGCCAGTTCATACCAATTGTTACTCTGCCATCTTCCTCCAGCTCTAGCCCCCCTGCCCTACCTGTCTGGGGGAATGGGCTCCAAGAGCCCTTCCCGAGCGCAGACTGTGAACCTGGAGACTCAGGAAGAGTGCCTGGTGGGGCCGGGGCAGGGGCCGGTGCAGAACTACCGGGACAGAGCTGCTTCGGTGTCTCTGGGAACTTTGCAACCAAAGCAGGAAACCAAGAGGGGAGAGGCCAGGAGCTGTGGATTCCCAGCGCTTTAGTCACTTGAAAACAGCCCTGCTTGGAAAGCGAGGCGGCTGTACATTCAGATGAGAAGTGAGGGGGCTGAATACCACCTTTGCTGGGCTCCCGTCAGTCAGAGGCCCGAACATCCACCATGAGAAGGAAAAAACGGAGGGAGGGGCCCAGTAGAAGGGAGGATAATTGAAGGAAACGTGTCTAGACTTTCCCCAGCCCTTTCCCTCTTTCCGCTGCCTACAAAAGCCCCAGGCCCGGCCACAGTTCTGTCTCCACCTTTTAGTCCCCTGTTCTCCAACCACAGAGGAAAGTAATAAAGAAGGAGTCTGTGCTGCCTCCAGAAAGTATCTATACACCTGATCGGCCAGTCGCCTCCTGCAGAGGGAGGCCAGACTGAAGCTTAGGCCCGCGAGGGCTCCCAGACTGTGAGGGGGGGCAGGCCGGGCTGAGGGACTCCCCTCCCCCATGCATGAATTTCATGCACCAGGCATCTGGTATATAATAAATATAAGTATATGTACTCAAATAATGAAACTGGATAGGAGTCATATCAAACTGTCAACAACAGAAATCTCTAGAAGACTGGATTCCAGAGGACTCTCCTTTTCTGCCTTCTTTTTAAAAACCACAATGCTGTGTGTGTTTTTAAACCAGTATATCATCTTTAGAATAGGAAAAAAAATAAGGGTGTATTAACAGGGTGAGGGTAAAGGAAGGACTTCATCTATTCTCTGCCCACCATCTGTAATCCTAAAATTTGATGGCTAAATGGATAGACTTGGCATTTTATCAAGGTGACTCACTCTTATTCTGTGATAATTACAGCCTCCAAGCCTGATACTTTCCTCTAGCTAAACCCGTTACACTAATACCTGATGGTGGCACTCAGATGAGCTGACCTGTGCTGGCTGGGTGGCTTTAACACAGCACAGCCAACAACGCATTCAGATTAGAAAACTGGCAGCAAGACCTCCAGCTCAAAATACAGAAAAGGTAGGTAATAATGAGTTTATGGGGATACTAACAACTTATTTTTAATTTTCTCCATCTGTGTTTGGTTGGCTATAGGCAAAGAAAAAGTAGACAGGAGGGAATATCCAGAAAAGTATGCCTTTAATGTATGCACCATAGCATCAGTTCTTATATGAGTTAATTTCCCTTAGCATGTACATGCATAGATGGATCTAAAGTAGTCTGGCCTCAAATGAGTCTAATTTTTGTGACACTTGCCTCAAACACAATGCATTCTTTTGTATTATCCTGGAAGTCTTAAACAGTGTTGCACTTCTGAACTGCTGTCCTCAAATAACACTGAGCACTGAGGACTTACAATGTACAGCTGCTCATTTTACACAGTATATTAAGTACATTATCTAACATGGTGCTTTACTCCTAGTATTCTCCTAAAGGAATCTGACTCAGTCCACATAGTCTCCTGGCCAGAACTAGTGGGCACTTAAACTATGGAGTGGTCTCGTAAACACACACACACACACACACACACACACACACACACACACACACCTCGACATGATAAATAAGCCAACTCTAAGCAAGCAGAAGTAACGATGACGCAGAAATCAGGAACAAAAGCAATATATAAAACAGCAGATGAATGGCAGAGCACTGCCAGAGAAACACACAGTGCTGTCCTGGGATGATTTAGAATTCAACTCCAAAAGGCCTGATTATACCATACTTCCTGTTCTTGAATATTTTTGCATTTCCATTTCCCTTCTAACCTTGTGTTTTAAAAATAAAAATTCATTTATTAAAACAGTCTGAGCTGAGTCTCTGTTCCTTACAACTAAAAGTCCCCAATTATAAAATACAATAACTCTTCTGAGATTCAGTGACTCAAGATTTCTGTCTAGCAGATCATACCTATTTGTTCACATGATGTATTATCAAACAAGAAGTGAAATATTTTTCCCTAAAACCTTATGGATGTTTAAAACAAGCAATTTTTAAAACTGCTCACAATACACAATTATTAGTAATAGGTTTTTTAATTTTCATCAATGCATTTTCCTTTACCATAAATCAGTTCTTCTATAAATATCCACTTACATGAATTACCTCGATATTTAGTATATCTTCCTTCCAAATCTTGTTACCAAGAGAAAAATAGAGAAAAAGTCCTATATCCTTAGATCCTGATTTGAAACACTCCAGGAAAAGGACTTCCCACAAATTTTAACAAGGAAGGGGCAAGCTAACAATCTGTAATGAAATCTAATATGTTCTGCTTAAGAATAATCACTTTTACTCTGCTATAACTGAATTTCACTCATAAATGTTTAAGAGTGGCTAATGTTAACACCATTTCCTACAAGGAGATCAAAGTGCTATATTACAAATGTACTATGATTAAACACATGATTTGCTTAAAATAATTACTATAAACCAAGAAAGTAAAATATCTTATGCAGTGTTATAATTAATCTTGGTCAATTATGCTTACACTAGAGGCCTGGTGCATGAAACTAATGCATGGGTAGGGTCCCTAGGTCTGGCCAGTGATCAGGGCCTTCCGGCTGCCAGCCAGGGCCTTCCTTCGCTCTGTGTCGCCCCCTGGTGGTCAATGCATGTCATAGTGAGTGATCAAACTCCGGTCGAACTCCAGAGGGGACACTTTGCATATTAGCCTTTTATATATATGGATTCTCATGCTTCTCATCCCCATTTAAGAAAAAGGAGACCCTACCTCAATCCTTCCCACTGGCCTAGGAGTATCATTGTCAAAAAAAAAACAAACCCTCACTTATGCTGAGAATAATTACTATGATAACTGTTTCTCCAGGAGCCATTAAGTAGTCCTACCATAGTCTGACTCCCATATTGGTATTACCACATCAAATTAAGCAACCTGTCATTTTTATTTTGATAATTTTATAAGCCATTCCTAGCTTTGGCAGTATATGATATAAACTCAAATAATGAACTACAATAACGTCTAATCACATTCCTGGTTCCTGCATTTTCAAATAGTCTGCTACATTTAATAAATAGTTTTAACTTTGGGGTTCATTTCCCCAAGTTTATTTTTATAAAGCAATGAAATCAAAGTATAAAAACATTTAAGGGAAAAGCATTCATAACTCTACCTTCCTAAGTCTCTTTTATCACAGTATTTCCTTCTAGGTGATTTTCAATAATTTCTTCAAAAATGTTATAACTACAACGACCACACTTCTCTATCACTAACACTTTGAAGATACACATAGCAACCACATAAACACTCAAGATTACAGCTAAATATGACTTTTTTTTTATGAAACCTTAAATAGTCTGTCATCATAATACTTTGTTGCCAAAAGAAAATAAAGTTTCTCAATAATTTTTTAACAAAAAAGATCCTTTTCTAAAATCCCATACCGATATTAGATATTTTATATGCTCTATTTTAAAATTTTAACCAAGAAAAATGAACTTAAGTATCTAAAGCTATAAATTTTTACTTACATATTCAGGTTTTAGTTTTTTATCCCCTCCTCTCACAGCCACTTTTTCTAGTTTATCTATAATGGGCCCAATCATTTCTTCATCTTTAAGCTGAAGCTCTTTTTTTTTTATTTTTATATCTCGAATAGGATCTACACTTCCTTCAACATGTGTGATGTCATCATCTTCAAAAGCACCTAAAATCAATTAAAAGGAAGAAATTCAATAATAACTTTTTAAAATCCAGAAGGTTATTATTAGAATAAAAACCCCTATAAGGTTAATAATTATACAAATTAATCTGAATTCTTGCAAGTAAGATATAGCATTTCTTTTCCTATTTAGTAATATTTAGGGCACTAGCAACAAAACAGTAATTCAAGAGCTTCAACATTTCAAAAACTGACTGAAACAAATAAAATTATGATCTTTACAGAAAGAAAATTATGCTCCAGAACTACTGGTATTTTCAGGTTTGGTACATTAAGGTACTGAATTCCAGGCATGAGAGCCTGAAGTTCTAACACTATTAGGGTTTCCAAGGGAAACCGGATTTGAGGGAGGGGGGCAAAATCATCTGGCAGACCTCTTCCCTGCTTCAATCTACTTTATCACTGTGGTTCTGACGGTGATTAGATAATGAACCACTCAGACACACAATTTACACAGCAGCTAATTTCATCGGCCTGATTTGAGGGTATGGTTTTTAGGGGGCTATCAAAGAAGCAGATGAAGGTGCATTTGTCATATATGAGTGACAACCATTCACACTCTCTGAACAAAATGGTGCTGGCCCTTATTAGAAACACATGCTATTATCACATATTTAAAGTGCAGTTGAAGCCATAATTTCAAATTGCCAACTGGAAACATAAGGGTAAAACAACCAGATATTACTGAAGCATGTGTACTGACTTTATGCCCTTTTGAAGACATAATGTGGCAACATAATTCAACTGGGATTTACTCAAATTACCAGATAAAGAACAGCATTGCAAAAATGAACAAATACTAAGAAATATTACAAACAGAAAGCAATGACATACCCATAAACAATAAATAAATTCATAAATAAATTATTAATTAAATTAATTAAAATTACCAATTAGATTATGTTCCCAAAATGAGATGTTTTCAAACATAAAGTATCATTATTTTACACAGAGGTACCATAGCAATCAAAAGATGGTTTGAGTTTGATGGAGAAATAGTGACTACAGATCATTCTATATACCAAAGACCAAAATATTCTCATTACAGATTACAAAAAGTTTTAAAACATAATTTCTTCAAAATAATTAAGCTCTTTGTATCTCAATGTAGAATTCATTAATAATAAAGCATATACATATTACTGCAGTTAAAAACATAAGTATTTAAAATAATACTTAAGTTTTCTTGACATACAACTGATGTTTTATTATATAGTGCCAAATTCAAATGAACAATATTAGCAAGAAATGAGAAGAAGGTGCATTATGTCTTATTAGTAAACATATGAGACAGACCACAATTTAGGTGAATTTTTAATTATTTTAAAAGTATTAAAGAAGTCTCCCTGGAAGGACAGCATTATGTATTGCTTGTCATAATCTGAGGCATATTACACAAATGGCACAATACAATAGGAAAATAAAAATAAAAGTTAGCTTGCTGGCAGTCTGAACAACAAAGGAAACAGGGTCAGTTCAATTATAGAAATAGCTAAACTTTTTCTGACACTCAAAATGAAAAATAACCTAAATAGTTGTCTTTATTGTCTTTATGTAGGGGCCAATGAGCAAATATAGTGATGTCCTCAACAACATCCCTACAGTAATGCATCAGCAGGTTTTAAATGGCAATGTCTTAATGACAACCCTCAATTTTAAACAAGTGGATAACAGAAACAATAATCGCAACTCTCCTGGAAGCAAAGAAAATAAAGCACTCTGATAATCTGAACTAATCCAAATAGAAAACCTAGAATAAAGGTGGGGGGGATCACTTGTCTATCTTACAACCTTCAAATTATTCTCCAGAATGCACCTTGCCTGGAGTCTGCCAAGAATTAGGTTAAGAAAGGAGTTGTGACTGGATCATCACTAATCCATTGCCCCTACTATAAGAATAAAAACTCAAATCACAGACCCTATACAATATGGATTACATTTTTGTTCCTATGCCTGAAAGTTAGTATTATTATTATACTAGTAGCCCTGTGCATGAAATTCGTACACATTAAAAGGGAATTAGAGGAAATATTTTAATATTGCTATTTGCCCTTTCTCTATAAAAAGTGTCAGAGATGAATGAAAGAAAATTAGTAAAACGTGTATGAAAATCTCCCTCCTGTCAGAGTCTGGGGCATGCCGCGGGACCCAGAGTCAAGTCCTTGCCCACCCGCAAGTACCTAGAAAGCGCATAAGACCCAGACACGGCTGGCCCCAACCCCATTGGGTGAGATCCAGAACCAGCCGGCCACACCCCAGTCAAGCCCGCTGGGTAGGGGGCGCAGCCTCAGGTCCTCCGTCAAGCCCCGCCGGGCGGGAGGCGCGGGCTGAGGTCCCCCTTCAAGCCCCACCAGGCAGGGCGGGGGGGGGGGGCATGGCCTGAGGTTCCCCCATCAAGCCCCATGGGGCGGGGGCGTGCAGCCTCAGGTCCCCCGCCCTGGAGCCATGCAGCTTCAGGCCCCTGCTGACCACTAGTTACGGCTCGTTATGGGAACCCCACCTCCGCTGTGGGCACAGCCATCTTGTGTTACGGGAACCCTGCCTCCACTGTGGGCGCAGCCATCTTGTGATGGCATGATGGAGTGAGGGTCAATTTACATATCACCTCATTATTATATAGGATTCATTTATATGTGCTAACATACTATAAGAACTTAATTTTTTTTATAATAAATGTTTTTAAATTAGTTTACTTTTTCCATTACCATTTTCCCCCCATATCCTCCTCCACTTCCATCCATTCCCCTACCCCCACAATCACCACTGTTGCTATGTCCATGAGTTCTTTCTTTTTCTTTTTTGCTCAATCCCTCTACCACCACCACCACACAGCTCTGACAGCTGTCAGTTCTCTAGCTATGTCTATCTCTATTTTGCTTGTTAGTTAATTTTGTTGCTTAGATTTTCACGTATTACTGCAATCATATGGTACTTGTCTTTCTCTGACTGGCTTATTTCACTAAGCATAATGTTCTCCAGGTCTATGTATGCTTCCACAAAGGGTAAAATTTCCGTTTTATCCACTCATCTATGGATGGACACTTGGGTTGCTTTCAAATCTTGGCTATCCTATCTAATAAAGACAGAATATGCAAATTGACCATCACTTCACAACAAAGATGGCAGTGCCCACAGCCAATAAGGAGGGAATATGCAAACTGATGCAACAAAGATGGTGGCGGCCGGGCCGGGATGCTTGCGCAGTGCGCGAAGGCAGAAAGGCGGCTCCAGGCCAGAGCAAAGGCGGAGCCAGCAGCCAGGGGAAGGCCTATTCTTGCACGAATCTTTGTGCATCGGGCTTCTACTCCTACATAATAAAAGCCTAATATGCTAAGTGTCCGGTCATCTGGTCGTTGTTCAACCAATCAAAGTGTAATATGCTAATGATATGCTAAGGCCACTCAACTGCTTGCTATGACGTACACTGACCACCAGGGGGCAGACAGTTAACCGGTTGACCAGTCACTATGATGTGCACTGACCACCAGGGGGCAGACGCTCAGACCAGGTTAGCTTGCTGCTGGGGTTCGGCCCATTGGGACTGTGCGAGACAAGCCGGACACACTCTGGAACCCTCCCGCAGTCCCTCCCCAGCTGGCCAACATCCCATATCCCTCCCCGGCCCCGATCATGCATCAGTGGGATCCCTTGGCCTGGCCTATGCCCTCTTGCAATCTGGGACCCTTGGGGGATGTCGGAGAGCCAGTTTCAGCCCGATCCCACAGGCCAGGCCAAGGGACCCCACTGGTACACAAATTCATGCATCAGGCCTCTAGTTGTAAATAATGCTGCAATTAACATAGGGGTGCATATATTCTTTCAAATTAGTGCTTCAGATAAATTCCCAGAAGTGGAATTGCTAGCTCATAAGGCGATTCCATTTTTAATTTTTTGAGGTAACTCCAAACTGCTTTTCTTGATAATAAATACTTCCAAAAATTAAGATAAAAATTAAGTAAAGGGAACAGTAAAGTTGTCCTTTAAAATTGAATAGCCTTGCCCCAGCCAGTTTGGCTCAGTGGACAGAGCACTGGCCTGTGAACTGAAGGGTCCTAGGTTCAATTCCAGCCAAGGGCATATGCCTAGGTTGTGGGCTTGATCCCCAATAGAGGGTGTGCAGGAGGCAGCCAATCAATGATTCTCTCTCATCATTTATGTTTCTCTCTCTCTCTCCCCCCCTCCCTCTCCCTTCCTCCCTGAAATCAATAAAAATATATTAAAAAAATAATAAAATAAAATAAAATTTAATTGCCTTTTTATGAAATGAGGCCTAAAACAGGTGTAAAACTAAGCTTATAGAAATGTGGTGGCCATTTGGGCAACTTACTATTTCTTAGAACTGAAAAATTATTGAATAAAAGCTCCAAAGACATACTCCTGGGCCATTAGCAAACTTTACCATACACTTACATTATAGCATTCCTTCACATCTTATTATTATTATTTTTTTTAGTATAAGCTTTATTGGTTAAGAAAAAGGGCTTTAAAGTCAGACAGGCTTACTGGTCATAAAATTTTAGCCAAATCACTGAACCTCTAAGGACCTCATTTTCACATTTTTTAAATGAAGATCTTTCTACTTCTCAGAGAAGAGATATGACTAAATCAAGATAACACGTAAAGTACTAAGCAAACAGCCCAACATATAGAATTATTTCAAGTAACTGGAGCATATACTAATTTTTTAAGATGCAGGAATTAGTAATTTAGAAGAAATTCCATAGTAATGCACTCAAACATTAAATTTGAGTAATAACATTTCATGTTAGTCAATTCTTTAGAATAGGTTAAAATAAACTTTGTGAGTTTATAGGGGTTTCCCCCCGCCCACTGATTCTGGCTAGTTCAACAGATCATTTTTACCCTACTCTATGGCCAAAGTTATTTATTTCAATTTCACATTACTAAAACAATTATAATTTTTGTGATTAATATGTATTTGTAATAATTATTATCATAATTCTCCTTTGGGAAAAACACTGTAC